ATGAGCAGAACCGCTGTAAATTAATTATTTTACCATCAATAATAAGAAACCATATACAGTGCACAAAAAAGGACCCTTTACAGGTGTCATGGTTTAAACCCTAGCCAGATAGCTTGTTCACTCACTCCCAGTGAGTGGTGCCGGGCTGACAACAATAGAGCCCCCCCCCCCCCCCCCCGTGCTCTCCCCTTCCCTGCTCCCAGAGGAAAGGGGAGGAGGATCGAAAGAGTGCAACTCCCATGGGTTGAGACAAGAACAGTCCAGCAACCAATGTACAACACAAATCACCACCGCTACCACCAATGACAATAATGATAAGAGAAAATAACAAGGGAAGAGAATACGATACCACTGGCCAAGAAATGAGTCCCATCCGAAAGCCCCTGTCCTTCTGGGTAACTCCCAGCTACCCCCACCCCGGCCATGACATGCTGTGGTATGGAATACCTCCTTGGCTAGCCTGGGTCAGGCGCCCCATCTCTGCCTCCTCACGGCATCCCCTCCTCCCTGGCAGACCATGAGCCTCACAAAGTCCTTGGTCAGGGTAAACATCACTTAGCAACAACCGAAAACATCGGCTTCACCAGCACTGTTCCCAGGCTGGAAGTTAAAACACAGCACTGCACCAGCTACCACGAAGGAGAAAAATGACTGCTACTGCTGAACCCAGGACAACAGGTAAAGAAAGGAACACTTCCAGCCAAATCTTCCTTGTGCTAAATTCACAAAACATATTTAAAAGGCGCTTACCCTGTGTTGAGTAAACTTCATCCTCCAAAGCATAACAATTTCAACCCTAGCAGCGCAAGCTGCTATTGAAAACCACAGCACAGCCATAGCTTTCAATGCCCTATTCCAAAGCTCCAGAAAAACACACTCAACTGTACAGCTGAGCTGATAATGGAGGAGACTAGCAAAGTGAACACATGTTCAAACTTGAAGGCAATCTGCATCCAACACATTCTTACTGCATTCATTAGAATATGAGGAACCATCAGAATCTGGTCCTTCAGTCTAATAGCTTAAAGGAGAGACAAGTGCTGAGTTCATTAAAAACACAACCATGAAGAAGAAAGCGTAGCCACCTGCACTGCAATATATATGATCCTATACTAACTAGCTACATGACTATTGAAATCCATATTCTTTTCTTGTTTCTTTGTAATCTTTTGTTTGGTGGACTTTCATTTTTTTTAATTACAATTTTTTCATTACAAGCCACCAGTAAAACTAAGTAAAAACATACATACTAAAAATGGCTCTCAAAAATTAGCAGCTATACTCCAAGGTTTGGGGAAGAACGGGTTGAATCAGAGACCTGTCTGCTGAAGTCCATCCCATATCTATGAAGCCTAAATAGACTAGTGCTATTTCCTTAAATGCAAATGAAAGAACTATGGCAGCATTGTTTTTCTGTAAAAAAAAAAAAAAAATTGTAATGTTTCATAACCTAATAGAAAGATGCACCTCCAAATTTTAACTACAAATCAGTGTATTTTCTTTAAGTTCCTGACATTTATTTTTATTTATTTTTAACATCATAGGATCAAGCAGCAAGCTTGATTAAGCATCACTGATGTCTATAGGTTTTCAACTAAACTGCAATTATGCAGGATCCAAAAATGCTAGGAAATTACTTATGCTAGAATAATCCATTATAAAAATACCTCAAAAATAAGCATAGGTGATCTAATAAAGAGCAGAACAAAAGGTCAGAAGTCTTTCACATTGGGACTGGTATAGAAATTCAAATATTCTTCTACCTGACTGGTCTGCAGCTGCTTTTAGTCTACAAACAAGAACACTTACCAAAAACATTGCCCTGAGACAAATCAGAAGGTACCACAGATATCAGCATGACTGTCAAGGATCACTAGAATATTCTATTTAATACTGTTCACAGTGTTAAATAAACCTTCTATTTGTCTTGTGCTAAATTAATGTATTTATAAGTGCACTAAAAAATTAACTAAATAAAACCATAAGTGAAAAAAGTCAGCTCCCATTTACAGAAACATATTTATTCATATAGGCACTTAACTTATTAAGTTAACCAAATTTATGAGATTTCTTTATGAGGACCTTTAATGCCTTAGAATCCTATGTATATCCAGAAAACACTACCCAGATCAGAAGCAGCTCTAATGTAGCACTATTAAAAGGGAACGCTACCTGTGGTAGGTTTTTCATTATTTCCACTATTCATTGAGGATGATTGAGCTCTGACCCTCATTTATATTTAAATTAAAGAGCGCCAAAAAAAAACAAAAAAAAAACCTTAACATCTTGCAAATGTTAGCTTTTTTCTGAGAGGGAAAAAACAGAGAGAAATGAAAGAACTACAACAGTTCTAGTCACTTGTTATTATTAGGAAAATTCTCTCAGAGCCAAAAATCAGATTACAGTTCCCCTTGAAAAAATTCACCGCTTCCTGACATGGTATTTCAGGATTAACCTTTGATAAACAGCAAATTATGGCAACAAAGTTCCTAACAGTAATGGTCCTGTGAAGCAGCTCCACCCCATTTATTCCTCAGAAATCTTAGAAGTCAACATCATGGTGCAGTGAAATGAATGGGTGAAGTTAGTGAAAACTAATACTCAAAGCTGAGCATGTAAGCAACTACTGTTTTACTGCTTTCACAACGGAGAATAATGCAGCTGTAAGCAACCATACCCTTGAAGAAACAAGGTCCTGAGTTAGTCACACTTGAGCTGCACATCTAACACAATAAATAGCAACTGCTGCATAATTTGTATTAGATAAAGGTCTTAACATTATTCCAGTGAAGTGAAAATTCATTAAGCAAGTGATGATCATAAACTCTCTTCCAGAGAGATGTTGCTTTCCTTTTTTTTTTTTTTTCTCCTTTCTTTAGGTAAAAGCACAAAGTGAGCAGGAGTTGAAGGGAGGGGTAAGCAGAAGTTTACCTTGTCCCATATATGCTCTTCACATAATAAGAGGTTGAAGAGTCAGTCAACAAGCCAAGATAAATCCTCTCCTTCTGATCATTTTGTATCGTACAGGAAAATCCCAGCTACTACATAGTATTCCCAAGTAGTTCTTTCCTTTACAACAAACCTCAGAACCCTCTTGCAGCAAGAACCAGAGCTCAGCACTGCCTTTTGAAGGTGCAACCTGATGGTGTAAAACATTTTCTGTCTTTCTTAGCAGTGATACATTCAGAGTTATTTTCTGAAGAGTAGAACATAAGGGATGAGAAAAGCAAAGACCTTCCTGTTTCAGGTGACAGCACAGTAGCAGGACATGCTTTGGAAAAAGAGTTTTGCATTTCAGCCTCTTCAGTAAGAGGAAGGAAATTAACTCAATTTCTCAGCTGTCATGTAAAAAAGACAGCATCAGCTCCTCCTCCCTTTCTTTTAAAGTGAAATAATAATGCTTGATGCATATTGTACAAAGCTTGATCCATTCAGCATGTGGTAGGTATGCTCAGAAAAGGATTATAATCAAATTTCTAGGTTATGGTTAGATCTGGATGCAAGACACATAGCAAGCAACAACATTTGCCTAAGACTAGAAGTGCCACGGGCATACACAGAAACATAATATGACAGTATTTAGAATCTCTAAGGCAAGTTGCTTTTGTAAATGAACATAAGATATTTAGAGTTAGGCAGATCCTACAGAGACTTTTTGGAAGTGCAAATTTGGAGGCAAAATCCACTTATTTCCTGCTTCTACGTTTATACTCTTTCTCAGATCAGGTCTTTTTCTAATCATTAATGATCTCTGAATACAGAAAATACTATTTTCAGATACAGTCTCTCGGTTTCACTGGAGAGGTTCTGTGGAGGCTTTGTAAGCTACTTACCATGGAGCTTCTTGTGCCAATATGAAGAAACACATAAAATCCTTGTCTCTTGAGGCATCGCACATTCTTTTCTTTTCAGAACAAGCAATATTCAGCAAGAATTAATTCTTAATGTAACATTAAATTGGCCAAATGACTCATCTTCCAGGATAGCTTCATTCAATCTGTTTTGTTAGGTCAACAAATTAGTTAACTACTGTTCAGTAGCTTGAGGCATACTTTTCAATACATACCATTCTCTTCATCAGACCATGGCCAGAGTATGACTGCTAAAACATTTGTCTGATAATTGTGCTGTGAGTGGAATTTACCCAAAGATCCTTTTTTCCTGGAATTGATATTTCCATATATGACAGATATTCCTATATGTAACAACTACAGCAATAGATACAGTCAAACTCCAGTTTCTCTGAACATTGGGTGCATTTCCACTGCTAAAGCAAAATTTTTGGTCCCTCTGATTTGAAGCATCTTAGATTCAAAACCTTCAAACAATTCTTGAAGAATAAGATATGCATGTGGAGCTACAATGTCCTAACTAATAGAGGCACAAGCAGCTATTTGAAATTGCTAATAGGGGCTCTCCTTGGACAAGTTTCTCTGTCATGTACTTGTTATTTGTGTTAAACTTCCCTATGTGGATTGAGGGATATTGCAGTAACACTGTTCTGCCCCTGAAAACTTCTAACCTGGAAAACCTTTGGCCACTGTTATGAAAGCAAGAAATAAGAGATAGCATTGTAAGTTTAAACTGTTCTTCAAACTAAGTTTATGTTTGCATAATAATTTGTGAACACACAAATGGTCTTAAACCTATTTAAACTGTTAGAATATCTAAATATGTTTCAGATCACACTTTATTACGCAATAGAGATTTCAAGCTTTATGGCTAAACCTGGTTCTACTGAGAAGTGAAAAATTAAAATGAAGAGACTTGTAGGTAACATGACACTATTACATCGGGGGGGGGCTCACATGCCCCTTCGTGCTTGTTATCTTTAGAAATGCTGAAGGTTCTATCCTATTAAGTAGTTCAAAAGAACTAATGATACACATGAAAGGACTGTGATACAAACCCAGCCATATAAAAAACACAGTATGGTCAAGTTCTGCCTTAAAATAAATAAATAATTCACCAGTTACCTTCACAGACAAAACAGACCCAACTTGAGGAAAATATAATTTATTGACAATTAAAATAGAGTTGGCAGCAACTCCAGAGGCCTTCTAGCCTCAGACAACATGGAGACAGACTTCTAGCATCCTTTGGGACTGTCAAACATTCAAGGTCCTTAAAGCCATTGTCCTACCAGTCAGTGTCTGCTAGAAGGTGTGCATACCACTGTGCTCTGACCAAGTGAGGAACAGTATTTCCTATGTCTTGCCAACCAATTTTCAAACCAGATATAAAAACACTAAAATTGAAAACATAAGCCTTAATGACTCTTAATTCCATACACAAATATATTATTGAGGATATCAAGTGTAACTATTACAAATATACAAACAAGCATGTCTGCATACACAGTGGAACCACTAAAATCAGTCATTCATTATGCATGTCCCAAAGAAAACACAAGAAGTGTGTGTTCAGACATGGTTATCCATAGACTATTAATGAAAGACTAAGCTAGACTAGTACTTGAGAGGTGTTTCTTCTTTGCAGGCAGTCTTTCTAATGCAACTGTCCATTCCTGAACAGTGTCCATTCTTGAACAGGCTTCAAATGCTCTCTCAACACCTATAGGTTGAGGGAAAAGAAGGGACAGAGAGAACAAGGCTTCATCCGAAATTATACCATCCCTTATCAGACAGACCACGCAAAAACAGATAATGCAAAATAAATACAAAGTGAAAGAGAAGATGCAGGGATATACCTTTAAGTAGAAAAGACAACTTTAAGAAAAAAAAAAAAAGATTAAATACATGAATTTTAAATACAGTGACATTTAAGCAGATACAAAGAAAGAAATCCACTGCTTGAACACCTGGGCTAAATCCAAGTGAATTACACCCACTTAACACAAGAAGTGATTTGACCCATGATCTTTAATTAGCCTGGCAGATATTATTTGCCTTATGCAACTGCCATATGCTTTTATTCAGCCCAACCTTTAAAGTCACAGACTAAACATAACTGCTATTTAACATCCAAAGCTGCTTGGAAGAAGTGGCATATAGCCAAACACAAAGGAACAAGTGGAAGTGACAGGCAGAAGAAAAAAGTCACCAGAATTTCCCATCAAAGGTTTATATGTGTCATTTAATGCTGGCTGAAGGAACAAATCTTACTAAGAAAGGCAGGAGGAAAGAAATGGAGAATATGCAGCATCCACATGTACAACATGCCCTGGAGACAGAGGTACTCTTGAGTCAAGGACAGGTCATGGCCATGACTTTACAACAGTGTAGAAGATGCTGTCAAATTATATCTGCTACAACATGAATACTCTGCAGCCTACTCAAAAAATGTTTTTTCCTGTGAGGCCCTTTGTGATTTTCTTTGCCTTTCACAAGGTCAAACAAACTGCCAGCTTCCCTTCTGGGCACAAATCTGACACTACTTTCATACACAGTATCTCATATCACATTGTACATCACTCACCAAGATGTAAGCAAGTTGTTCAAAAACAGAAGGACATTATTCTAACCACTCTAACCAAATGCTTTATTGTTATCATTTCAAAACTGTTGGCTAGCATATTGCTGACAACAAAAATCAGTAATAATGGTATTAAGGAAAGTACTGAATATCTTCATAATACCTAAGGGTTATATAGTGGTATTCCATCAATTAATAGGAATACTGTATTGATTCCTAGGTGAAAATAAAATACAATAAAAAAATCAATAAGAATTAAGAAATGCTGCTCAGACAATCTTACTTACTCCAAGGAGAATACATACTGTTTTTTTATTGGAAAAAGGTCTGAAAACAAAACATGGTATCCTTTAAAAGCAGAAGTTAGTACAAACAAGAAAATAGCAATGATATTTTTTAGACCAATCTTCAAAAACTATTTTTAAAGGCATATTTGCTGGATTTTCATTAGATATTATAAGAAGTGGTATTAAACTTCTTAGAAGCAGAGGACTTGGACAGCTTAAATTACTTTTCATTTCCTATTCACAAACCTTGTTTTGTGAGCATTTTAGGACTTTGAGAAACAAACTGTATGGCATGAAACCCCTTTTCAAACAACAGAGGAAAAAAAATCTTATCTCATTAAAGAGCATTTAGAAGGACCAGTCCTTGGAATTCACTGAACACTCACAAGGTTACAATCCACTTGAGAGAACCTGGAAATGTCATAAGCTAGCAGAGAGCAGCTCAAGCAGCTTATGAATGACAAAAAAGCCAAGAGAGATGATTATAATCTTGCACTCATTCAGCAATCAAGCATCATCATTATCAAATACAGAGAAGCCTAAAATGCTTAGGCATTTTAAGGTTGCTCAGGTCTGTTAACTCACTCAGCAAAATGCTATATAGAAGTAAAGCAGGAAAGTGGGATTGGCCTGGGGACTCTGGGTTTTTTGTATTGCCCCAGTTAATCACATCACAGTTAATAGCATTAAAGAGAATATTTTTATGAAGATGGAGTCTTATGTGAAAAACAATTTAACTTCTAACCACTTCAAAACATTGTTTTGAAAATGAAACATACCTGTAAGTTCTGGGGACTTCTTTTAATAGTTATCAATGTACTTAGTTTAGCCAGCTGAACAGGTCAAACTAACTTTTATCTACTGAGTATTGCCCTTGTGCATACCATGTGTACACATACCTAACTGAATTACCTCTGCATGATGAGCATATGCATCAGCATTAAAATAAAATCATCATGTCAATAGAAACTTCATAAATTTCTTCTTCATGTCTATATCTCTACAAGAGAAAAGTAACCAAAAGGAAAATAAAAAAGAAAGCCACCTTTAAGAACACTGAGCTGATAATTTAAATAACTGCTTTCATATTATGTGTTCTGTAAAGTCATTTTAGTCAGAGATGATCACTGAAACTTTGAAATCAACTGCACACTTTCTTTCCCGTAAACAAATACGTTTAGAATTTCAACAACCTTGTAGCAGGTTATAATTACACTATTAAATTTTCATTGTTCTGTGTTGTCCTTCTCAGGGATGCCCCAGTCCTCTAATAACAGAATTACCTGAACTGTAAGTGATTTTGCACCCCAAACATGATAGTTTTCAATTTGGTGAAACTTAGATCATCTAAGTTTCATCTAACATCTTCTTAAAAGCCCTCATTTCACTATTTCCTTCTTAAGGATGACGGAAGAGGGATCAAACTACTTACTTACAAAGCATACAGTAAATAAAAAAAAAAAATAAAAGAAATCTTAGTTACACCTTTAGAAGAATATTTTCACCTTGCACTGTTAGCAAGACTTCCATAACCTTAAAACATACTGATTTCATAAATTGCTTCTTGCTGTTAAACAGTATTTCCAAATCTTAATGTTGAAAACCTATGTCTCAAGCTACAAAAACTATCATTTTTGAGACACACTATGGTGAACTTTGAGGCCTGAATTTTATATGCAAGGGTTAGCTAAACTGAGAAGCTTTAGGGAAAATACTTAAAGAATGGTATTTATGCCTTCGTATAAAGGCTGAGTACTTCCTACAATCTGAAAAATATTGATGTATTGTCTTTTAGCATTGAAAAGAGAAGAGATCCAAGTACAGATTCTATATGAAATACAAGCAAAGTGAAACATATAGAAAGCTCATTTATAAAATTTATTTCCATTTTAGATAGATTTTCCTGGGATAAACACACTCCCATTAAACTGTATAAACCAAGTACAGCTTCATATTTTCTCTGCAATCAGATATATAACTATAGCTACAACACAGGTGTAAAGCTAAAATAATGGAAGGCTGGTTTTATAAGAGGAATAACTGATTCATTTTCTTTAAGATGGTTATCTATGCTCAGACTGAAAGACTAGTTGCTGCTGCATTAGTGTAGAACCATGGGTTAAAAATGAATCAGTAAGTAAAATGCAGCAGTAGAGAATGGAAACAGCTCTCTACAGCTTTCCAGGCAGGTAATGTCTAACTGTAATTACCCCAAGTTTGCATCTTTCCCTCCTCAGGCCCCAAGCTTATACACCAACCCAGTGTCAGACTTGTGGAAAAGGCCTGCTCAGGATGAGGGCCAGCACCAGATTCACAGCACTCTCTAACCAAGACCTAGGAAATCCTGTGAGATGGATGGATCCTTCCAGTAGTTTATCCTAACATCTTATCCAAACTTTGAGCCTGTCTGAACCTGGAACACACTCATGGCTTTCACCTTCTAAATTCTTTTGTTTGGTTGGTTGGTTGGTTTTGGTTGTTTTTTTTGGTTGGTTGTTTTGTTTTAACTGCAAAGACCAATAGCAGCTTGGTTTCTCTATATCTCTAGATGAGATAAATGCTTGTGGGGAAAACTCTCAGATCATATAAGTAAAACAGACTGCCCAATAATCATCACCTGTACACTCTGTTCTTGCAGGATGAGGCCTCTCCTGCAGTCTCCTGCATAAGGTGATTATATTAGCAAGACTTTGATGCAATGGCAGCAGATGCAGATTGAAATGGTTGCTGCTGAAGAGCCAGGAGCTGCACTGCATGCATTTCAGGAGGTTTTCACTTCTTACTGGTTCAAACGTGGTAGCATGAATTGAATATCCACTAGAAAGGGAAGAATATCAAGTTGCTCTTGGAGTAAATCTTCCATGTTCAAGTTCTCCAGGGAATTTGGTTCATAAACTCTGTAACCTGGGTCAAATTTCAGTAAGTGGGGACTATCAGGAGGTTAACTTCAAAAACACACTTCTGATCTGAAATAAAACACACCAGCCGCACATTCTCCCATTCAAATCCAGTCACACACAGTAGCTCTTAGTTTGAATATATTCTCTGCTTTCTCCTCTGGGACCCCAGAAATGACTGCTTGCTATTACATCCACAGCGGCAGTGTCATAAAGGACTTCAATTAATACCAACTACCAAAAAAACCAATCCTGACCTCTATGTCCTGTCCACTCACTCTAATGAGTAAGAAAATTGGCATGTTTTAACCCATCACCTGAGGTACACTTAGCACATACTAAATACTTGTGCTGTGATGATGGAAGGCACAGATGTCCTGACATCTTGGAGAATTTCTATCGCCCAGTTGAAAACTGTAGCATGATTAATTAACTGTTCAGTACCAGGCTGGTTATGTAGGAGCCTAAACCCAAGAGAAGTTTAATGTTATGTTCCTACCTGAAGCTGTAAAAGCTAGACAGTAAAACCTAGCTGGGCTGAATCTCAGTCCTCTAAGCGGACAGATCCAGGAGGCATCCTCGGATTGTGACTGACACTGGAAAGCAATTAACTCACTGCAGAGAATAATAGCTGTGCTCCCAGAGACATTCTTCACAGAAATGAGTCACAGTTTCAACGATTTCAGGAATCACCCAAGCTCGTTGTTTTCAGGGTGAAACAATTAACTAGTAGTCTGGAAAGTGCATTACCAACAACACTGCAGAAAGGCAAACATTGCTGTTTCAGAGGGGTTGCTCACACTAGATAGGATTGGTGAGTTTTCAGAAAACATGTCAGCCTTGCCATTTCAAGCACAGTAGAAGCACCATGAGAGTTTGACTTTCAGAGAACAACAGCCTCCTCACAGCATAAGAACCGAGATTAATTCTCTGTAATGTCAGGGAAGTATGTGTAGGGAGTAGAGATGCTACAGGTCCTTTTATACTGTTCTCAAAAGGCAAGACACAACTATCAGACTGCTTATACACATATATGCTCTGACAACGCATTTCTGGGTACACAAGTAAAAACAGATGCAATAATTAGAAAGGGTAAAGCCCATTAAAAAAAGTACAAATATAAGTACAGAGCAAGCACTTAAAATGTATTCATACACAGGTTTTCTTTTCATGTCTTCATCTTGGTTTGGTTTAGCTTAAGATAAGCTTTTCTGGCTTTTATTTATTCCCCAAGTTCTTTTTAACTGAAAGAAAGACAAGCATCATTTGTCAAGGGCTTTTTCCTCATCATGTATCTATTCTGACAGTGCTATTAACACATTACATGTTCTCAAAAATAAAGCTTTAGGACATTCTTTCGCAACCATTCCATGAAAGATCACCTTGCTAATTGCTAGTTAAAACAGAAAAACAGATCCCCTCAATAATTTTCTTCAATTTTCAGAACAATAATCTTCCTTCTACCCATACAAATAATACAATACAGGGAGAGCAAAAAGTAATGGCCTCATTTAAATCCAAACCAGTGAAAATCCAAAATCCATGTAATTCATTGACTCTGCTGACATCTGTGAACAGATTTTGACCGCTAACTGGTGCAGCAGATCAAAGTTAAAGACAAATTTCTTTTGTTTTTCTTCAGACATATGAACTGTTTACATGGCTAAAACTAATCAAACCTGTGAACATCTGGAAGATTAAAGACTTTTCTGGTTTATTTTGCTAGTTTCATAAACCTTTTTTATTTTCCTAAGCAAGCATCTACCACTTTCTGTGAATTTGTCAGCTGTGGTTACAATTAGAGATGGCATATAAATCTCCAGTATGTTTAGAAAACTGGAAGCAAGCGTTATCACTGTGCCCTAATGTTTAAGTGTAAAGACTAAGATTACTAAACTAGGCAATAGCAAGCTTTCAGATTTTCTCCTTATATCCCGGTTTTAAAGGTTATGTGATTCCAAAAATTGCCCTAGAACATGAAGGTCAAATAAGAGGAAGGCATCTCAGGATTGAAGCCTTAGGTCCACATCCACATACTTGTATAGGTGCCATTTAAATCATCCTCAATCACTTTGAGGATTCCAGATGAGTCCTGAGGACAACTTAAAACAAATATCTGGAAAACTGCAGAAGCTCTAGGTTTACTACAAAGTTTTGTGGAAAGGGTAAATTACACTGATGACGTTCTTCCTGCAAATAACTCATTTCTCTAATTATGTTCCTTCACGCTCAGAAGAGTTAAAAACTGGAATCCTTCATGATATAATCATGATTGTCGTGTAGAAAACTACTTATACTGCTTGCTGCTAAACGTCATGGAAAAGACTTGAATTTTATATACTGTTCTCCAGCCTCCCTGTAATTGCAATTTCATTACTAGTTTAGTAGCACACTAGTAGCACACTTTCCTGTAACATATATTTTTAACAAGTAAATGCATCTGAGCATTGAAAGAAAAGGATACAGCCTAGAATGATCTTGTTCATATGAGGCTGTTAAGGAACTAAAGCCATAACATATGCAAGCAGGATTTAACTTTTATAAGCATGCTCGTCACAGCTGATCCATAAGGGCAGTTAAAGCTAGCCTTACATACACTGAAGTACTGATGGCAGCGGGGACAAAAGTATTTCATTAATTAAGTCATTCTTCTAAAAAAAAAAAAAATGTATAACATGCTTTAAAAAGGACCACCCTTTGTTTTATACTTAATTAATGCAGGAAACTTCCTATAATAATGCAACATCATACAGCAAAGGGAGGAATAACCTCTCAGTCTTTACATGCTAAAATCTTTATCAGTAATCTACCAGGTCAGGAACTCTGTGGCAGTTTTGAAGTCTTCTCAGACTTCCAATTCTCTTTTATTTTCTAATATTTTCTTAAATTAGTCCTACAACACATAAGAGGTTAAGCCTTAGGTCAAAGCTGTTAAAATATACAATCTCTCTTTATAAATAAAACTATCTCCAGCCTACCACAATGATCCCACTGGACATTTGCACAGCTAACCTACTCATAAGTGACCTGAAGATTAATATAGCCCATCTACAGTTCTCATTTCTGCTTTTCAAATGCAAAAATCTGACCCACACTGAAGTCTGTCTACATCAGTGTGGCACTGAGTGAATTCCCATGAAGTGAATATAGGTTTAAAGAGATTATTGCACACATTATGGTTCCTTCTGTATTTTCACAAAGGTTTTCATTTTCTGTTTGCCAAACTATCCTAATTTTTCCAGTTCCACTGAACTAAAGATGATTATTTATTTCATACCCCATGGTCTGCAATTTATCACATGACTTTGTCTTTCTAAATCATAAAAAAAAAAGAGGTGTAAAAAGAAATTAAGTATTCCATCAAATTATTTTTGGTGGTAAGGAAGAATGACAGAAATCTGAAAGGCAGCTGTGGATTCCATTCTTGTTTTTCTCCACA